TGGCTAGTATATATATTAGAAGGGAGGGCAACTCTTTAAGCAAAAACACAGGAGCAGGCCCTTCTGGAGATGGTTTGAGAAACTTGTGTTGGTCTTGACTACAAAGAAAATCTGAATAGATTATTATTTATCTCCAATGATGGACTGATTAGGAGTTTTTGGGACCCTTGTCTAGAAATATGGTACCCTTTATTAGTAGGAGCAGTAATCTTTATTCAATCCAGAATCATTTTGTAATGCATTTCATTGCAAGTTGCACAGGGGAAAGGAGTAGCAATGCTTACAACATAAAATAATATTAGCAATATAGTACTTACTGTAATAATAACAGAAATGTGTTCAGTCCTACCAAAGATGCAAAAGAAAACAAATAGCAAAATGATGTTTCTGCTGTTACACATCAAAGATGTAGTCTACACCCAGTGGAACCATTAAGAAGATAATTTGGCACATTCAGTATGGGATTGTATTTTCCCCATAGACTGGAAAAAAACCTATCACAATGTCAAGAGTTTTTCACTTGTTGGCTTTCAACCTGTTCCAGGAGCATTATGAAATGCCTATAGCTAGATTGCCAGTGATGACCATAAGATGGCAATATGACCTGATTAACTTCCCTAATGAACTATTATAACGATGTAAACATGGAACATCCCTTGAAGATGATTCAGAAGTTGTAGCTGAAGGAGACAGAGTAGCAAGGGGAGAGGATATCACATCCATTTTGAAATCTCTTCTTGCTTGGCCCAATTCATGGTTACTAGTGTGCAAAGCCCCTAAATGGTTCAATGGTACACTTATTTTAACATTTTGTCTCACTTCTTGTAATTATTATTTCAATAATGCTATTGACACCAAGGGTCCTAGTCTGGGTGGAGGTATGTCAACCAGTTCTGGGTGGGTCACACTCCCCTGAAAGACTGTGATTGCAGCTTGGGGGTGCTCCTAGATCCATCTCTCCAAATGTCAGCCCAAGTAGATGCGACAGTCAGGAGTGCTTACTATTAGCTTCAGCTGAAGTGTCAGCTGAGCCCCTTCCTAGATTTGGAGGACCTGAAGATGGCAGTGCACACACTGGTAACTTCAAAGTTTGACTTCTGCAATGAGCTTTACATTAAGCTACCTTTGTACCAAATTCAGAAACTCCAACTAGTTCAAAATACGGCAGTCAGATTGGTTACAGAAACATCTAGGAGTGAGCATATTACACCTATCCTAAAGATACTCCACTGACTGCCAATTAGTTTCTGGGCAAAGCACAAAATTTTGGTTTTGGCTCTTAAAGCCTTAGATGGTTTGGGCCCAGGTTAACTACAGGATCGCCTTCTCCGATACAATCCGCCCCAAGCACTGAGGTTCTCAGGGAGGCATCTGTTCCAGCCTGCCAGAACCCAACTGGCAATTGTTATCCAGAGGACCTTATCATTTACTGTCCTAAGACTGTGGAAAGACCTGCCAATAGAGCTCCAACAGCTATCGTAATTCAAGATTCAAGTGAAGACCTATATCTTCTGGCAGGCCTATCCAGACAGTTTTAATGACGAATTTCAAAATTCCACTCTATATCTAACTTTATAGAAATATGTTTTAATATGTGTATTTTACAGATTTTTTTTCTGATTCAGTCTACCTGACAGAATGGATCTTTCCCTATGAACCATCTCGGAGGTTAAGATCATCTGGGGAGGCCCTGCTTTTGGTCCCACATTCATCACAAGCGCAGTTGGTGGGGACAAGAGACAGGGCCTTCTCAGTGGTGGCCCTTCGGTTGTGGAACTCCCTTCCT